TGAGTGTGGGTGAGTGTGGGTGTGGGTGGATGTGGGTGTGGGGTGTGGGTGGATGTGGGTGTGGGGTGTGGGTGTGGGTGTGGGTGGGTGGGATATATGAAAGACAAATCCCACACCCACACCCACCCACACCCACACCCTCAAATTTTCATTGACACAATTTTCTGTGTGAATAATCCAAGAATGAAAATTGCTATTGCTTGCGATTGTTTATCATCTTAAATGACCAATATGAAACACATTTAACGACATGGAAAAAATTTTTTATAGTGCCTGTGGATTCTCTACTGTTTTTTTTCTAAAACGAGGACAAACCGTTATACAGTTTTCAATTGAATTTGTGATAAACCTAAATTGAAACCGATTTTCGAAACTTGCATATGAAAATAGTGAATACCAGTTTAAAGTTGAAATTTTTGCTCTCTGTTCGAGAAGAGCAAAAGGTTTAAGATCAACAGAAGAACTCATCGAGTAATTCAGTGCCTTTCAAACCTTCAAAAAAGTCGGTATGTTGATTACAGCTATTAAGTAACTAAGCAACGATTCTCACCACATCGGTGTCGCGCCAAAAAGTTTTTAAGAACAGAGGTTCATGTTAAACATGCGGCGATACTTAATGTCGTTTGAAGGTGAACTTGAATTGAAACATGTAATCTTATGCTTCAATGTTCTATACTAGTGAAAGAAATGTGAATATCAATATGTAAGCAATAGATATAATAACGAAGGAGAAAACTTAGATTAAAAGAGTATAGCAATGAAAGCAGAGACAAAAAGAGCATGACACTCATCTAAGTAATGAGATTTTTTCTGATGAATAAGCGTTACATATTGCAGAATCATTAAAGTGATATTTTTAATTGCTGAAATTCAAGGGGGAAAACACGTACTCCCGTACTCCCATTGAACTCCCTGGACTCCGGGAGTACTTGGGAGTACAGGGAGTCCAACATAGGGGTGGGAGTTTAACTTTAACTTTAACGTTAAAGCGAAAGTTAAAGTAACATACTTTAACACTTTAACACTGTAACGTGAAAGCAAGGGAGAAATCACGTACTCCCGTACTTCATGTACTCCGCTGTACTCCCGTAGTTCCATTGTACTCTCTGGACTCCGGGAGTACACCGAAGTACAAGGAGTCTGTGAGATACAATTCTTATGTAGGAGACCGTATCATAGGTACCTTCGTCAACCACTTTAAATATTCCTATTTCTCAAGGAGAAAACCATGTACTCCAGTACTCTCTATACTCCGCTGTACTCCCGTACTTCCGTTGTACTCCCTGGACTCCGGGAGTACAATGGGAGTACATGAGAGCCCAGCAAGGACGAAAACATGTACTCCCGTGCTCCCATTGTACTCTCTGGACTCTGGGAGTACACCGAAGTACAAGAAATCTGTGAGATACAATTCTTATGTAGGACACCGTATCACAGGTACCTTTGTCAACCACTTTAAATATTCCTATTTCTTCTTGAATGGGACACTCATGTCCTCATGACCTATGCTTTGGGGGCGCCCATAAGTTCCCATGGCCTATCCTATGGGGTACCCATAAGTTCTTATGACCTATCTTTTGTGGGTACCATAAGTCTTCATGGCCTATCCTATGAAGGTACTCATAATTCACCAAGGGCTATTGATGTTTGGTATTGTTAAATTTTCAAGCACTGTCTTGCGGTAGTTCCAGTTACTCTTCAAGCATTATTTCGTGGAGGGATGTCGGATACCGCTAACTGTTAAGGAGATATCTAGCGTTAATTGTCATAGATTTTCAAGAGCTTCTAGGTAGGAACGCAAACTGTGATAAGAACGCCACTCACACGCAAGAAGAAAACAGCAGACTCCCAGATTTCGTACTCCTAGGGATTCCTCGAAACTCCCAAGGATCCCTTGGAACTTCCGCGGACTCCTGAGCTTCCCAGGATTTCATGAGATTTCTTCGAATTTCGAGGGACTTTATGGGACTGACTGGGACTTCCCGGGATTTCCCTGGAACTCCTTTGGGTCTTCTTGCTACTTTGACATATTCCGAAGTAGTAGCACCTACATGCATCATACTGGTCTGACTGTTCAGATCAAAGGTTAAAGGTCAAAGGTTAAACACTAATGAAAAGAAACTAATGTGTAAAGAGCTGCGCTCCTGTATTTTATGGGGCTCCTTGGAACTCTTTGAGATTTCTTGGGAGTCCTTGGAACTCCTAGGAACTTCCAGGGACTCGTGGAGTACGGAAGTCTGCTGTTTCCCCTTGCTTATAATACTCCCATAAGATAGCTCATGAGGACTTATGGGTACCTCCATAAGAAAGCCCATGTGGACTTATGAATACCCCTATAAGATACATCGTACTTCCGGGATTTCAAGAAGTCCCATTGTACTCTCAGGGATCCGGAATCTTGGAAATCCCCCTTTTCCCCTTGCGTTCAACTATAAGAAAGACGAAAAAGAGGAATGCGACGTCTCGTCCACTAGATACCACCCTAGTTGCTTTGTCTACTAAACAACCTATTATTCAAGGGGAAAACGGCTGACTTCGGATCCATCAAAAGTGCCGAACACGTATTAAAAGCATCGGAGTTGGCTCACAAGAATCGCAACAATACTCAGAATAACAAAATTAGGTATGGAGTATGACTTGAAGTATCGGAATATTTTTTCAGAGTATTGGAGTACGCCCGAAGTATCTGAGTTTGGCGTAAAATACCAAAGGATGAACCCATTTTGAGGTGTTTACAGTTAATTACTTCGTTGCTTCTTTTCGATCATTATGATTCTCAAACGTGAAACAAAGTGTGGTGGGAATTACAGCTATTGACTACTGACTTGAGACTCCCATACTGCGATACTTCAATAATTCTTCGATACTCCGGCTCCTATTCCAGTACTCCGATGATACTCCGACGATACTCCAGTACTCCAAGCTGAAAACCAACGCAAAGAGTAAAGTTGATAGTTTGAATTATACTGCTGAGACACATGATGGAAGATGGTAGATTCTCACTGAAATGTCCATTGTGAACAACACAAAGTATGTCTTAGCTACTGGAGTACGATGCGAAGTACGATCCGAAGTACCGGAGTACCAGCTAAAGTATCGGAGTATTTGAGATCCCGGAGTACCGTTTCCCCTTGCTATTATTCGAGGTCGTTTAAAAATTAAAACAAGGAAAAAACCAGTCTTGCAATACTTTCTCAAAAAATATTCGGAATAAACTATTGCGTTCGTTGTACTCCCGTGTACTCTCTGTACCCCGTGAGTACTCGTAGTACGGGGGTACGTATTTTCCCCCTTGATTCGAGGTCGTTTATAAATCAACAAAAGAAAAAAATCAATCGTGCAATGCTTTTTCGAGATATATTTGGGGTTGATCTGTGGTACATTATTACGTTCGCTGCGTTTCCTTGTACTCCCATGTGTTTCCTTGTACTCCCATGTACTCCCCTGTACTCCCATGTGCTCCCTTGTACTGCCTTGTACTCCCATGCATCCCCTTGTACTCCCATGTACTCCCTTGTACTTTCTTGTACTCTCTTGTACTCCCTTGTACTCGGAGTACGGGAGTACGTGTTTTTCCCCTTGTCTAATGTCTTATAGATTCTTTATCTATATCGTGTCATCAATTTTGCTAAATTCATTAATAAGAATCAGAAGTTGAAAAATAGGAAACGATCCAATCGATAAATGCCTTATGCATGTGAACTATTCTTTCTTAGCAGGGTGTGGATGTGGATGGGTGTGGCAAGACCCCACACCCACACCCCGACCAGGGAGACTCCCTGTAAGCCTGATAGGGTGTGGGGGTAGATGTTATACAAGAGAAGATTCCTACCTGCACCCGCTCCTTTCCGAAATAATCCTTGATAATAGGATATGGTTGGAGTTCTGCCGTCACATTAAAATACCTTATCTATTCCTGATTAATTCAAGTATTTTCATCAAGAACCCTAGTCAAGAAACCCTAAACAAATTTCCAGCGACCCCTAGAAAAATCCACCTGGGACTCATGACAGAGAGTGGCTATATAAGTGACTATGTAGTTCCTTATAAAGGACAGTTTCCTAACAGATATGCTAGCCATTATATGACATTTGTCAGTGAAATTATCACTGAGCGACATGCCTAACTAACTTTCTACCTACATACTTATCCATCTATCTACCTACTTACTACCTATCTATCTATCTACCAATTTATCTATGTACCTACCTTTCTATGTATGTTACTATATACGTGTCTTCTAAGGGCTAAAGCTCAGTGATAATATCACTGAGATCTGTCACGGACTCCTTTTTTTCTCCCTACTCCGTAAAATGTGGAGATTCTCTGAAATTTCCCCAGGAGATCCCTTGTTTTTTGGGAACTCTCCGTGGGTTTTTGAAAGGTCCCTTGGTGACTCACTGGGAATTTCTATAATGAGAATGGACTAGGGAATAATATTGGTAATAACATCCTTTTAATATTCACTGACTTGTCAATATGTGAATTTTTCAGTTAAAATTGACGAAAATGTTTCAATATGTTGTGTGAATGACTATATTTGAAATGATTATAAATATAAGTCGTCGTATAAAAATAGACGTCTCGAAGTTACTTGTTTGCATCGTTGAAAATTACACATCACTACATCTTACTATTTTTGACACTTCGTAGCCTTTGTTAAATTCTGATTTAACTTTGAATCTTGTTCTCAGAATTAACTATATAGTAATAAAACATCAAACTGCAGAAGAGAAAAGAACTATGCTACGACATTCATCAAGTTTTAACTTTCAATCACTTGAAAAAAAATTAGGACATGAACTATTGTGGTAATATCAATATGTTCTAGATCATCGATAATATCAAATTTTCAAGAAGTGAAAAAAATCAATTAAGAATTATTGTTTTTCTTTATTTATTTGCAAATAACTAATAACGAAAAAAACAGATACTATCCAATAAAAACAAAGCAAAAGAAAAATATATCAATGTTTATATATAACAAATAATTCTGACATTTATTTCTTATGGCTTTCAATTGATTTTGCAGTTTGTTTTTGTTCAATATATGGTGCTTCAATTTTTAATTGTCCATCATCGATTAACTGTGATTTTAATTGATCAACTTGTGTACCAGGTGGTAATGTTGTTGATTTAAAAAAATATGATCGTTCGGAACGATTCTCATCTTTATATTTATGTTCACCTTGTACAATTAGTTCATTATTTTTTACTGAAACTTTAATTTCTTCTGGTCGATAATGTTTCATTCCAACAGTCATTTCTAATTGTTTTTGATTATTACCTTTATCAACAATACGTGGTTGAAAATCAGAACCACTTAAAAAGCCAACATAATCAAAAAATGGATCACGATACTGACCAAATTGAGTTTCGAATTTGTTGAATATTAAAATCACCATGTTTTTGACGATCTTCTTGTTTAGCTTTGACAATAACTTTTCAATAATCAATACGTGTTTGAATTGTTTCAGGATTAAATCCTGCTACATTAAGTTGAACACGAAATTTTTCGGAATTTGTTGCTCGTGTCGTTGGTCGTAAACTTCTATCGTTAGTAGTTGATGAATGTGTTAATCGACGAAGTTCATTAATCCAACGAAAAGCATGTGGTCGAATGGATAGAGCCAATGGAAATGTATCAAAATCATACCACGGATCAAAAAAATCAAGTTGATCGCCAAAAAAACGATCGAATGGATCGTCGAAAAGGCGATAACGACGGATTGGAAATAAGGCCATTATTGAGTATATAGAAGCGCTGAGAGAGTTGCGGTTAGTTTTAGAGTGAACGTTCAAAAGAGTAGTATTAACATGAATGTTCCAGAATACTCGAGTTTGATCATTGTCATTCTAGCTTGTTCTCTCTTTTTTTTCTTTCTTTCTGATTAAACAATATGGTATGATACACACTTGTGAATGCGAACGACATGTAACAGTTTATTTTGAAATATGTGAAGATATTTTATTTTTATCTTAAAATATGATATCATTTTTTATAATGATTTTATTTAGAGATATTTGGGTATTTTGTTTTTTATCTGAAGATGTTAGCTGTAAACTGTTTATTCATGTTAACTAAATTGTGTAGAAAATTTCATTAATTTTATGTGAAATGAACCTAAATACTTTTATGCAATATGGTAAACATGGTGCAATATTGGATCTAGTTCAATAAATTTCAACTTCTTTATTAGGTTTTTTTATATAGAGTATATTAAAGTTACGATATTATGTGAAGAAGACTGAAAAATTGATATACCCATATTATTCACGTAAAAACAAAAGAGCTGTGGATAATTTTTGATAGAAATATTGCCATTTAACTCACTATGATGAATCACTTTTGCCAAGATGCTTGTCCAAGTAGCCTCAGATCAATCAGTTGAAATCGAGAATCTCCAGAAAGCTCTTATGACTTTGAATTGAACAGCTAGCAATGTTGACTTTGCGAAAATTGAAAGAGAACCATTTTTTCTATCTATGGACCAAATTAAGAATCAAGTTTCAGCGCGTATTTATGATTCTGAGACTTCTCTTTGTAATGGTGACAAATGCAGCTGTGTATCTGATTCCTATTAAAAGTTATTTGTTGAAACAGATTATAGTAAAGTTTAAACCATATGTATGTACAACGAAACTCTATGTACTTAATATTGCTAATGAACAAAAGCATATAGTGAAGGTTTATTTCGTTATACGTCTTGTCACCCATTGTAAGAACTTTGTTGAACCTTTTGCATCTCAACAACTGTAGTCATTATATCCAAAATTTGCATCATATATGTACAAGATCATTGAGCCAAACTTTTATTGAAATATGCCATGCAAACTATATAAAATTATCTTTCTTTGCGATGTACCGATAGTATCACTGTGCCATCATTGGTAAATCCGAAAGGATCATTTTTTTCTCTTCGCATATTTTCGATTATTAGTTGATGAATCGAATCGTTTGTTAAAGTGTGTTACCGAATAACATGAAGAAAGAAGAGAGAAAAGTAATTAATTCAATTTATGTATATATGTATATAATTGCCATATGACAAAAAATTCACAATATATCATTAAAAAGAGAAAAAGAAAAAGAAAGTTTTTGGTCTTGTTTAATATATTGTTCTTTTCTTGGGAAAATTGAACAAAAGAGACAATTTGATGAAATAGAAGGAAAAGATAGAATGAATATAGAATAACAAAGATACGACAAAATTTCGTCTAAATATCCAAATAAGGACAGAAGGGATTATAATAAATGACATAAATATAAACACACAATTTAAATGAATATCTATAATTGTCATATACATTTTGTATGATAAATAATAATAAGAATATATATATATATATATATATATTTCATAAATCCTCATTATATTCCCTAGAATAAAACAAAGGAAAAAAATTATTAATAAAAACAAAATTGAATTTTTTTTTAAAACTAACCAATAGTCACATTCATATCCTTCCGCAACATGATCTAATAATACTTTTCGACGTGTACTACAATAACGATATTTATCTTGTACTTTTTGTTTCATTTCAGTTAGATTTGTTGTTTGAGTTGAATCTCGTTCTAAATAGCCACTTAATTCTTCAGTAGCATGTTCTAAATCAGCTTGATTTTGTTCAAAAATAATTCTAATAAAAAGAAGACAAAGTTATTCCTGCGATAATATTTATGAATGATTTGCAAAATTTTTGTTTTTCGTAAGATTCAGTTTTTTGCTGTATTTAACTATTAGTTTTTGTTTCTATCAATGAATTGCAATGGATAGTATGGTATACAATTGAGTTTGTTTTATTGTGGAAAGTCATCTCACTCTTTTATTCATAGCATAGATCCTAGTACAAAGAATAGTACTGAGTCAAGATGGATTACGCTGTATATCATTGAACATGTTTTATTTCGCAAATGGATTTTCTTATGAAGAGTAACCCACCCCGTTTTTGAAGGATCTCATATGCTATCTTCTATGACATACTGCGATCACAATGGCGAAAAATGCCTCCCCTGTCCACTGTTTCTCCAAGATACTATATTTAGACACTGTCTGGGGTAGGTATGTTTCTTTTTGTTTTGAATAGATCTAGCTCGATTAGTCATATTAGGCAGGAGAAATGGAAGCGTTTCTGCACCTTGTGTTTTCGTGAGAAAATTGGTTAAAACAAAATGAAAACGAATGTACAGCATTCGCTAATGTAAGTTCTTCTCGAATTTTTAAAATTTAAACACGATTTCTCGACTTCAATATTTATTTAATAGATAGCTATACAATGCCCTTAAAAAAAAACGAAAAAGTTCAGATCATGAGAGGAGGCGAGATATCCTTAACATAGAGTATAATAAAATGTACTCTCAAAAATTATTTAGATCTGCATTCAATTTTTTCGCACGAATCGTACTGAAAAGTTGTAATTCATGTTTTTTTTTGCATCTATAACTTACGAATGATTATTTCGTTTAAGATAAAATGCAAATGGATATGTATACATTAATGTTTGACGGCATTGTCGCAGTACGTCACATGCTACTTGAAGAAATTGTACTTCAATCCAGCTCATTTGTTGTTGCATAGATTCCATACGTTTTTGTACTTGATCTAATAATTTATTTTCTAATCTTAATGATTCATGATGATTATGATAACGTTTATAATAATGAAGATAACGTTGTAATGCTGCGCGTGAACGTTCTTGATCATCACGTGCTTTTTTAGCATCATCTTCATTAAAACGATTACAGTTATACCATGATGAACCATGAGGTTCCCATGGACCCAAACATATCCAACAAAATTCATATTTGCATGATTGATTTTTACATATTAGATGATTACAACCACCATTTTTTTCTAGAAAATAAAAAAACAACGAATGAAAATTCGTTTATATGTAAACAAAGAATATTTTAATTCAGATCGGGAAACATTTTAAGAATATGAGAAAAATCTTAGTAAATAGTAGGGATGTAATTTCAGCTACGTTTATTTGATAATTAAGCTGATACATATACCAAGCACAGATAGAAACTGAACTATTATTTCATAAGTGGCAATATGAAAGTTAATAAAATCAAAAATAACTTTTGTTTCCAATATAAAACCATCAAGACCATTAAAATTTTTGTAATTTTTCTTAAAATAATTCCTCACAATAAATTGACATTAAATGATGTTCTTACTACAGAGATTTTTTAAGAATAACTTTCGTTATCTTTGCTTATATTTTAGCATGGAAACGTTCTATATAAGGTAGCAGATAATTTAGTATCAATTTTTTTCATATATGATGAAATAAGAGCAATATTTTTCATAGAAATAAAATAAACTATAACTTTTCTGAAATTTCCTCTTAATATAAATAAATTTTATTTTTACCAATAGTTGCATGACATTTGGGACATTCTTTTGTGTTTGCAGCAATCCAATTGCTTGTTTCACTATCATCCCGACATTTTTTTTGCCATTTTTTAAGCCATTTACATTTAATTGGTTCATGCCATGATTGTCCACATTGAAAACAAAATGATGTTTTGCATGTTGTACATGTTACCATAGCAACATCACAATAGGATGCTTTAATAGCATTTGTACAATTTGTTCCTGGACACCAACGCATATTACGATTACATTCAACAAATGAATTTGTTATTAAATGTTGATATTTTCGACGAACAGCTGGTATGTCAATAAGATTTAAAACAGTTTTATCATCGACTAGAATGTCACACTTAGCTGGGCATGGTATGGTTTGTCCAATACCTTCATCCATAATTTTTATTGTTAAATAATGTCGCCAACACTCAATACAAAATATATGACCACATTCTAAACCAGTCATAGCATCTACAGATTTTGTAGAATAACATATAATACATGTTTGTTTAGTTGAAGAAGATGTTGGTGTTGTGGCTGATGTCTGACGACGTGTTGAACGATGTAATGGATTTGATAATTGTGTCTGTAATTGAGGAGTTCTTTTAAATGGATTAACAATACCTGCTTGACGAAATAATTCATCTTGATGATGTGGATCATAAAAACGTTCCATTAATTTTTCTTTATCCCAACGAAAATGATGCAATAGTAAACGTACAGTTGTTGTTGGTAATTTTATAACTTCATTCACTTCTTGTATACATTCAACCATATATTTGACTATTTCATCTTGTGATAATACTATATAAAAATAAATGAAATTGTTTTTAACAATTATATCAGAAATTTATATGTGGTTAGTTTGTAAAAATGCTTATAGAAAGCATATTCTCTAAATATCTAGTCATTTCATTGTATTTTACTTATGATATTCTATGACTTTGATGAGAAATGAAAACAATTGAATATTTTGTTTTTGTTTGTTTTTTTTTTTTCTTTCTTAATTATTTTAAAATATATCTTACCAACATATTCAAAATTATTATCTTGTGGATAATTATTCGATGCTCCACCAAGACTGGAAGAAAGTTTTGTTGTTGACTGTTCTGATGAAGTACGTGCTGTTGTTGTTGTTATATTATTTGATTGTGATGAATGTACAATTGGTTCATCAATAGGAAAAAATCCAGTATCATCATCTGATCCTTCTTGTTCTTCTTCATCTTCTTCGATATCTTCACTATCATCATCTATTTAATAAAGTAAATTTTTTAAATTTACATTCATATGTTAATTAAACCTCACCTATATCAAATTGATCATCATCTGCCATGGCAAATAGATTTCTATTTCAAGGTATAAAAT